TTCCGTCCCTCGTTCTCCTCCCTCCGCCTTTCCCCCTTCCTCCCTCTTCGCCTGCCCCCTCTGCTCCTGGCGAGCTCTCGACGTCACCCCCCTCCCTCCCTCCTCACCCCTCCAGTAGGACATCGACTACAGAACTGCTTTACCCCAGACTTCTTTGCCTCGTCGAATATACGAGTAATATACGTAGAATTGTTGCAGATGTATCAACATTGTGCGTCTTTTTTCGTGGAGACGACGAGAATTTCAAGTTTGGGGTAAGTCAATTCTGCAGTCGATCCCCTACTCGAACCCAATCCTCGTCCTTCCTGTGCTCTCCGCCCACACATGAGGCGCACAGAGGCACACTGGTACTAGATGTCCTCCGAGAGGCGCACGTCCGACCCGAAGCTATCGCACACTCATCTTGTATACTATAGCGTTTCCCCGGGCAGGGTGGCCGCGAAGCACACGCCACAACGCATCTGCTCTAGGATCTCTCGGTGCGCGCGTCGCCCCTGGGGGGGGCGACGCACACGCAGTCCTAGTATGCAATGCTGGGGTGCCGCCGACCTCCTCCCCCCCCCTCCTGACTACCCACCAGACCACCCCAACCCAACCCGAAGACCCGAATTTCGGGTTGGGGGGGGTACGGGCTCCACACGTGTTTTTTCGATGTTTCCCGACACCCCCCCCACTGGAAATCGAGGGTAAATCTAAGCCTTCGGGTTGGGTTGGGGTGGTTTGGTGGGTGGTGACCTCCCCCTCCCCCATCCTACCCTGCAGAGCCCCCGGGGGGGGGCGTGGGTCCTGGACTCCGCCGCGGACCTGGCGACCAGCCGCTTGGCCCTGCGCCTGCCGAGGCTCCGGCGGAGCCGGGGGCCGGGGCCGTCGTCGCCACCGACAGAACCCCCGCGCCAACGCCGGCGGTCTTCGGTGACATCGCGGGACGCCCACGGTGTCACCGAAGGTGTTGTGGTTGTCACTCCGCGTCGCTCCGCCTCCTTTCTCCCTTCCCCCCCCCCCCCCCCGGCGCATTCGGAACGCTGGCGAGGAGGACGAGAAGCAGGAGGAAGAAGAGGGCAAAGGCGGAGGAGGCGGCGGAGGAGTAGGAGGAAGACAAAGAGCTTGAAGAATGGCTGGGATGGGACAAGGATCAGGACAGGGCGAGGAGGACGAGGGAGGGCGGCGGGAAGACCGAGGAGGGCAATAAAGTGGCGGGGGAAGGCGAAGCGCCGGAATAATGGCTGGGGTGGTTCAAGGAAAAGGACAGGGCGACGAGGGCGAGGGTGGGCGGCGGGGGGAACGAGGAGGACAATGAAATGGATCAGAAAGAAAAAATGGGGGACGGAGCAGGGATAATCGAGGACGGAGCAAGGAGGACGGAGGATGGAGAAGGGGGACGGGAGGATGAGACATTGGACGAGGAGAGAGGAGGGACTGGGAATGAGGGAGAGTGCACGGAGCAGCACAGAGAGGGATGGGTGAGGGAGGAGTTCGTAGTTAGCTGATCAGACGTGCGCATTACGCTCGTAGTGCATACGATCGGCCTACCATGGCTTTCTTTCAGCTGTTACAGATTGCTTGCTCAGAGCTGCAATCCGCAGATTGCATGCATCTGCGGAAAAGACTGGCTAGATATACGCGGCCCTAAAGAAGGCGGGACGAACAGATCCAGAGAACAACCAACGACAAGGATGAAGTGGGAGAAGGGAGGGAGGAGGAGGGAGGCGAGGGAGGAGGGAGGGAGGGGGGACAGCAGCAACAGTAGGATCAAGCCTTCGCAGCTCCATAACCACCCCATCCTTCTCCTCGCCAGCTTGTCTCACTGCCATCATCACCAGCATCTCGGTAGAAGTGAGGAGGGTGGATCGACGACCTACCCCCGCAAAGCACCTCAGTAGCAGCAGAGGTGAAAAAGCGGGTTGAGAAATAGGAGTTCGGCGAATGGAAACGCGCATTCCTAGATATTCCTACGGATTCAGAAGAAACACGCGACAGGAATGTCACTTTTGCGTCGGAAGCGTACGCGGGAATGGGGCTCTGGGTAACACGAAGAGCCAGAATTGAGGTAATCTGTGCTGTTTCCTGTACGCATCGTACGCGGGAGCGGAATTATGGGAACACGAAGGGCTGGAAGTAGAGTAAGGCGTGTACTTGTTTTATCAAGGGTCGTGGTCGTCTGGACCAAAGGTGTAGCCTGTATCGAGACGAGAACACGATGCCGTGATAATTGAGGAAGTCTATCAGGTGAAACGGCCGCTGGACCGCCGCCAGATCTGGCGCCCTCAGGCTCCCCGTCCCCCCTGTGGGACTATTCTGTGGAACTCGTCGGCCCCCTGCAGAACCCATGTGTGACATTGGTGCCCTTGATAAAAAGAACCGCCACCGTCGAGAGAAAGCGTTTCACGGGCGCTTGCCTTGGGAACACTCGGCGGCGCGTTTCGAACCGGGGGGGGCCCACCCCAACATTCGGCGCCGTCGATCAGAACCAGGGGGACCCCCACCCCCCCCCCTCCGGGAAAGGAGAGTGGGGGATTCTAACTCCCCACTCCCCCGGCGCTGGCGCTGGCGCCTGCGCTGGCGGCGGCCGGCAGCGCCGACGGCGGGGGCACAATGACGATGACCAGAGAGGGCCCAGAGGCCGCAGCGCCGGCCCGATGAAAGGGAGACAGGGGAGAGAGATGGGGGGGAGTTCGCACCCCCCCCCTGTCACGGGAGGAGGGGGCGGTGGGGAGGGTCCGAAACCCCCCACCTTCAATCCAAGGGGGGAGGGGGTCGTCTGGTTCCGACCCCCCCCCCCCTCCAAGCGCCCACAGGGCGCGCTCTCACCCTGTGGAAGCTGGCATTAATGCGAGAGCACGACTCCTGCATCCATTGTGAAGAAGTCTGAAGCGCAACGGCGGCCATAGTCCCCCCTGTGGGACTCGTTTGCTGCCTTTTCTCACCACAAGAAGAACCCTCGAATGAAACGCTATCGAGAGCAGGATTCCTGAACCCGCCACCGTGCACTGAGGCACGAGTATGAGTCTCCTCAGGTCCCTTCGAGTTCCCTGCTTGAGCCCTGTCTGTAAGCGTGATAATATGGGGCCAGGGGCCAAGGGCCCGAACTTGTAACTCTCCTGGGCGCTCTCGCGCGCTTCCGGGGTCGGTCGCATGACTTCTCCGCAGACAACGGAGTCGCCCGACGGGCCAAGAGGGCCCCAAGGAGCCACCAAGATGTTCCAAGGGGCCCCGAGTCGCCCGCACAGCGCTCAAGACGGCCAAAGATGGCCCCCAAGACGCCCCAAGAGGGCCCCAAGAGGCCCCCACAGATGGCCGCGAGATGCTCAAGTCACTGATTTTACCTAAAGTTTATCCAAATCGTGCATCTCATTATTGTTCTCGCCTTGTCGGGAGATCGACGATCCAACACGGCCAAAGAGGCCCCCAATATCGCCACCAAGACGACCTCGGATGCCCCCAAGAGCGCCCCCAGATGGCCCAAGAGGACCCCAATTCGGCCCAAGAGGCCCCAAGACTGCCCAATAGAGCTCCAAGAGAACCCAAGAGAGGCCCAAGAGGGGGAACACGACGCCAATTACATTCGGAGCCCTTCGCCCCAAGAGAGCCCCCGAGACCGCAAACAGGCCCCCAGGCCCAAGAGACCCCCATAAGAAGCTCCAGGAGGCCCACACGAGCCCAAAAACACGCCCCTAGAGGCACCCAAAACCGAATCCGAGAGGCGTCCGAGAGGCTTTCCAAGAGATTTCCACATGCATCCCAGAGGCCTCTGACCTACAACCCGGAGACCGACGGCCACTAGATCCGCCGCCAACTGTTGATTCATCACAGGGGTGCCCGGCGTGCTGAATCCTTCGCTTCTCGTTTTGGTTCTTTTCCAAAAGAACTCCCCCTGGGGCTTCGGCCGATCCCGCAGGCCACCCAGAAGGGCGCGCAACAGGTGGTTGCAAAGCGTTTTTTGGTTCCAGACAGCTCCAAGATGGCCTCCAAGATGGCCAAGATGGCCCAAGATGGCCTCCAAGTTTGTCCAATATGGCCTCTAAGACGGCCCAAGAGAGTCCAGGATGTCTCCAAGTTCGCACAAGAAACACATAAGACGGCCTAAGACGGCCCCAGAGGCCTCCAAGAGGCCTCCAAGACGGCCCAAGAGGCCTCGGACGGCCCGAAGAGGTCAAAATCATAAATTCTCCTAAGGTTTTTGAAGGATGTTGGCTTTTGCTCCTTTTCGGCCTTCTGACGGCCGGAGAGGCCATCAAGATCGCCCCAAGAGTGCCCAAGAAGCCTTCAAGACGGCCCCAGGCCCCCAGGAGGGCCCGAAGAGGCTAAAATCATGGGTGTTCCTTAGGTTTTTTGTTCCGAGGATTTTCGCATTTGCTCCTTGTCCGGCCTTCCGACGGCCCAAGACGGCCCAAGAGGCCCCAAGAATCGCCCCTAGAGCGCCCAAGAGGCAGGCCTCTACGATGGCCTCAAGACTGCCCAAGATGCCCCCAAGAGGGCCCCAAGAGGGCCCCAACGCTGCCCAAGAGGCCTCGAAGACGCTCGAAGAAGCCTCCAAGACGGCCCAGGGCACCCCAAGAGGGCCCAAAGTCGGCCCAAAGAGGCCCCCAAGACGGCTTCCGACGGCGCCAGACTGACCAGGAGCTCACCAAGATGGCCGAAGATGGCTCTAAGATGGCCCAAGACGGCCCAAGAGGGCTCCAAGAGGTCGTCCAGGCAGGCCCGAAGAGGCCAAAATCATTGATTTCACTTAGGTTTCTGAAGGATTTTGGTGTGTGCTTCTTTTCGGCCTCCCGACGGCCCGAGACGGCCCAAGAGCCTTCAAAGATCGCCCCAAGATCGCCCAAGAGGCCTCCGGGATGGCCCCAGAACGGCCCAAGACGGCCCCCAAGACGGCCCCAAGAGGGCCCCAAGACGGCCTATCTAGGACTGGGAGGAGGGGGGGGGGGTACAGCTAATTCAGAGCAAGGTGGGCGTGGAGTCAAAGAAGAATGCATGCCACCCTTCTAACTCGCCCTTCCTCCCCGTCTTGTTTATCCACACACATCCAATATAAATCTCCCTCTTGTCACATGCCCTAGCCGTTCCCGCTCTAACACCTACACCGTATAATCCTCCAATTTCTAATCACATCCGACGCCGGTTGAATACAACGCAAGCCATCTGATGCAACTTGCCCTACTTGCCGGAGTAAGTGCTTTGCACCCACTGCCAAAAACGCACCCACATACCCCTGTCGGGAGCAAGACTCAGTACCATCTTGTCCACCTTTGCATCGTAAAATGCGAAGCGATCTTTCTGAGGGACGTATTTGTAATCATCCCACAATTCTTTGTGACAGTTGTAAACGGCATCGCCAACACGGCCCAACTTCCGAGCGCCGATATCGTCTGCACCACAACGCTGCACATAACATTTACCCTCGTTCGGCAGATTTGGGTCTCGTGCGCACTTAGTGCCAAGATAAGGCAAGGTTGGATAGCCTGGCAACGTGTAAGGTGCTCTGCCATCATGGGGCATGATTCCGCAAGCATCTGCGTCAGCAGAATACAAGCACAGATTCGGCACGCAGAGACATCCAGTGTACTTCATCGATATGAGTGAAGTGATGGCCATAGCCCAGGGCTCCACAGGCGCCACTGCAAGAGCCTTGGGACTGAAATAGTATGACTCAAGCGAGAAAACGGTGATGTAAGACCCTAGAAAGACAGCCGGCGCCCACTTATTGAACTCCTTCTTACAGCTGCAAGATGTGCCCTCTGGGCACGTCGCCTTTTCAGATGGTCCACACGTGTGGTCTTTCGTTGGATGTTTGGTACAACCGCCAGTGCAACCTGTAGCCATTTCAAGAAGGCTCTGGTTGGCAAATTGTCGAATATCGTTGAGAGGTGCTCTTTGGCGGCAAACGCTTGCAACCGTTTCGTAGTCGAAGCCTGCAATTCCTGTCATCTGATCGTCGTCGGCAACCTGAGGAATTAAAGACATCAATTCCCACATCGCATCGTTGGCATGCACATCGAACATCAGCTCGCTTAAAGTGGTACCATATGATACCTTCTCCCGAAGCATCCGGGTAAACTGGTCACTGGTCATACCGAAAGCACCGTGTCTTTCAGCTTCCAACGTCCAAATGCGTCGGACCAACTTTCGTGCCCTTGCCTTGTCCTTGGCGGAGAAAAAGATACCGATACCGCTGCTCCCTGGATCTCTCTCAGGGCGCGCTGCGACCAGGATGCGAGGGCCACGCCAGCCACAACAACAAAAACACCCCAAATAACCAAACAGGCGAAGACGAGGAGAGCGCACACGGTCCCGAAGTGTTACTCAAGGTGTCGCCCCGGGGGCCCCAGCGACACGCTGTGCCTTGCGAGTGGATAGCGTGTCGCTCCGCCCCGTAGGGCTGGAGGCTCGGAAAGGCTAGGGGCGTAAAAGCTGGCGGGCTGGGATGTGGTGGATAGCGCGTCGCGCCGAGGTGTGGTGAGCCAGAGCCAGCAGAGCGACACGCTACCGCTGTCGGCGTAAAACAAGGCCATCCACAGACGATGCTTCGACGGTGCCGCCCCCGGACCCCCCATTGCAATGTTGCGTTCGCGGCCGCTGTCGGGGTGCAAGCATCGGCATAAAGAACGCCCAAAACTCCACCGCCAAGCCAGCCCCGATTTCAACATTGAAATTGGGGTGCACGGGAGTTCTGAACACAGCAGCGTCGTCCATTACATGTCTGGTGGTTGCTTTTTTACGCCAACGGCACAACCTCCTTCACGTTGTCAGTTGGGGCATACGTCCCCGTATCACTCATAACCCGGGCATACGTCTCTGTGCTTCACTTGTTCGTTACACCGTCGACTGCCTGGTTGGCCACCTCGTTCGCTGCCTCGCTGGCTGCCTCACCGGCTGCCCAGTTCGCAAATTCGTTGGTTGCCTTGTTGACTGCCTTGTTGGTTGCCTAATTGGCCACCTCGCTGGCTACTTCGTTGCATGCCCCGCTGGCTGCCTGTCAGCAACAACCGCCAAGGCCTGAGAGCACCACAGGACGCACAAACACCGCTTAAAGGAGTGAGACTTGGAGGGAAAGCTGGAGGGAGGGTTGGAGGAAGAGCTGGATGGAGGGTTGGAGGGAAGGCTGGAGGGCTGGAGGGAGGGCTGGAGCGTACAACCGCTGGTGGCTTAAAAAACGCCCACCAGACGCCAACAGCGGTAGCACGCTCCATCCAGCGGCCCGCGCGGCGCCCCTTGCGCGGCACCCCCATCTGGAGCCCCGGGGTGGATGCAATCCTGAGGCAATGTATAGGCACATGCAAGGGCAATTGGCAATTTTGGTTTTCGCGTTCAAAAGGTTTTAATGTATTTGTTCGACTAACGCGAGAAGAGGCTTTGCCGATTGTGAAAAATAACACATGCCTAGGGATGTGCCTTTAGATTGGCGTTAGATTGCCATTAGCTTGCCTTTAGCCCGTGGCAGTACGTAGTAGCACTGAATCCCTATGGGGTTCCCCCATGCAGTTTCCCTTGAGGGGCCCCCACGGGGCTTCCCCATAAGGCTCCCCCATAGGGCTCCGCCATAGGTCCCCCATAGGGCTTCCCCATTGGGTTCCCCATCGGGCTTCCCCATAGGACTCTCTCATGAAGCTCCTCCATAGGTGTCCCCTAAAGAGCCACCCCCATCGGCCATGCCATCGGAACGAGGCGAATTCGCTCGGGACTTCCTCTCCAACAAATCGTATCCTCCGCATTTCTCCCACTCCTCCTGAATCGAAATTCCCCCCATCACTGCCCATCCCCACCCCACCCCCATGTACCCCTCCGTACTCCTCCCACTGAGTCGACTTCCTTCCATCCCTAGTCGCCCCCACTCCACCCCCTCGTATGCCTCCCTCCTCCGCGAGCCTCGTTCGCACTCCTCGCACTCCTCCTGAGTCGAACCCCTCTCGTCCCCACTCACCTACACTCCAAGCTCTCGAATTCCTCCCTCCTCCAGCCTCCTCCGCACTCCTCGCAGTCCTCCTGAGTCGAATCCCTCCCGCCCCTCCAACCCTCCCTCAAACCCTCCCTCCACCCCCCATTCGAACTCTCCCACCAACTCTCCGTCCAAACCCTCCCTCAAACTCTCAAGCCCTCTGTCCAGCCTTCCCTCCAAGCCTCGATCAAGCTCTTCTTCCAACCCTCCATCCAGCTCTCCCTCCGAGCCTCCTTCCATTGAGCGGTGCTCATGCGTCCTGTGGTGCTCCCACGCCTTGGCGGTTGCTGTTGACAGGCAGCCAGCGGGGCATACAACGATGTAGCCAGCGAGGTGGCCAACTAGGCAACCAACAAGGCAGTCAACGAGGCAACCAACGAACTAGTGAACTGGGCAGCCGGTGAGGCAGCCAGCGAGACAGCAACGAGGTAGCCAACCAGGCAGTCGACGATGTAACGAACAAATGAAGCACAGAAGGGATTACGCTACGACTGCCGCTCTGCAGTCGGCCTGTCTGGAGCACTACGCAGTGATGTGCAGCATACGGGGATGTATGCCCCAACTGACAACGTATCGGGGGTACCGCCGTTGGCGTAAACTCCCACCAGGCAGGACGGCCGACGCTGCTGTGATCGGAACCCTGGTGCCCCCCAATTTCAGTGCTGAAAACGGGGGTGCCTTGGCGGTGGAGTTCTGGGCGTTTGTTTCTTGCCGATGCTTGCACCCCGACAGCGGCCGCGAACGCAACTTTGCACTGGGGGGTCTGGGGGCGGCACCGTCGAAGCAACGCCTGTGGCCCCCCGACCTCCACGGCCCGAGAACCGGGGCCCCTCCTCCTAAGCCCTATACGGGGTCCCTACCTCAACGTCTTGGCTGCAGGTATCGGCATGCTTTGTTCCTCCGAGTCCTTGGCAAGCGCCGGGTCGTCTCCGCCGACCTGGTCAGCTCGCTGCAGAAGGCACTGTAAAACAAACCACTGCACCGCGCCCTCAGTTGCCTGCTCAACGCTGTTGGCAAAATGATCCGGACCCATGGGCAATGGCAAGCTGCACCCGCTCTCGTTAGCGGACGACTGAACAGCGACTGAACCAGCTGACATATCACGACGCATGTCGTCGCTGGCATGTACGTAGCTTGTCCGCGCTGCCGATACGCCCGTCCACACCGTGGGTGACAATACGAGGGCCCAGATCACCATGATCGAGGTGGCGTGACGCTGCTGTGTTCCACAAACGGGTTCGGGCGTTGGCACAATCCTAGAACCAAGCGTGTTGGTTATAATTCGACTGAGCCTTGATGTCTATCGGGGACCTACTGACCCGAGTCAGTCCAGATCCATTCAGTCAGGCTTTGCAGGACCCTGCAAACTCCTGCAAGATCCTGCAGGATCCTGCGCCCAAGCCCGGGTCAGTGCGACCCTGGCTCTCAAGACCCTGCAGGATGCGGCGCTCTGACTGACCCCCCGCGCTTGCACTGACCCCCACCTCTTCAGCCCCGAATCTGCGGGCCAGTGCGTCTCCCGGCCACCCGCCAACCCGACACAGCCGCATGCTTGCGGGCGTTCCGACTGCGGCCTGCCTCCCGAGCTGCACGCCGTGCCCGAGGCCCTGCTTCTCGGTAGGTTCCTTGCCCTCCTCCGCCTTGCCCGCGCGCTCGATTGGCGTCGCGCACAAAAAGGGTGGGCGGAGGGAGACGGCTTCTTAGAAAGAGGCTGCTTCTTAAAGGCGCCGGCCTCACATCTCCAGACGAACCCGCGCCCTCTAGCAAGCAGGGGTGTTTCTAAGAAGCATTTCCCCCCTCCCCATAACCCCCCCCGTGCGCGTGGCCGACACCACAGCCGAACAGATCATCAAGAGAACTATCATTCGAGAAATCTGGGCCGGCTTCCTGGACGTTTCTTGAGACAAACCTGGGCCGTTCTTTTTTCCTTGCAGCCGTAAGTATGATCAAAGAAACTATCATGCAAGAAACCTGGACCAGCTCTCCGGATGTTGCTGAAGACAAACCTGGGCCAACTCTATGTTCATTACAATCGACAAAATGATCATTCAAGAACCCTGCGCCTGCTTCGCGGACGTTTCTGAAGACAAATCTGGGCAAACTTCTGACGTCAACGTTGGAGGGGGTTAAGAGCTCAAGAAACTGGTCCGGCTCCCCGGCAAGTTGGTTAAGAAACGATTGTCAAACTTTTCGGGAGGAGGTTGTCTTAATCGTACGCTCGACCGCAAGAATGCACAAACACCAAGACCACCCTCGTCCTCCTCGCATCACCTGGCGTACCGCTTGATCGGTCGGTTCGGACTTCCGATCTGCATCGAAGTCTGCCCGCCTGCTCCTGAGGTATCGCGCACTCAGGCCTGTTCTGATAATTGCGCCCTCGCCGTGGCACCTGAGAATTGCACTGGAGGCCTGGCACAATCGTAAGGATGGAGGCCATGCCAGCACCACCTGAAGAACACTGCTTTGGTGCATTATGCCTTCATGATGCTCAGAGCTCTTAGCAACTACACTTGCGCAGATTGGTAGTGGCCTGCTTTGCAGTCGTGCTGTCTTCACATCGCCGCGGAAAAGCCCCACGTCCCCCGCGTGCGCTCAATAAGAACACAAGAGCGCCCGACAGACGCTGGGGTGTTCGACCTGGGACATGCTTCGGGGTCCCCAAAGCATGCCTGGCCGTGATCTCTCCCTGGTCGTTCGGCGCTCCCACTGGGACCAAATCAAGGCTCGCCGCTCACCCTCGGTCCCAAAGCCTTCCGCACCCCCCGTCCGCTGTCCGCCCGTTCCCTGCCCGAACGCCGCCTTCGGGCACACCCATCCCCTTCTCCTGACCTGCCCGTGCGCTTTCCCCCTCCGCGATGCCGAGGCCCGAGCGCTCCCGATCCCCTAGGTCACCCGACTCCGCGCGTCGCGCACCGCCATGCGCGGCTACCTTCGCACGCTCTTGCCGCCGCCCCTTGAGAAGGATAGCTCTCCAGTCCCGGCCGCGACGCGCGAGGGGCGATTATCTTGGGGCCCCCGCGGTTGACATAGGATCCCCTCTCCACATGCCGCACGCACCCCAAGGAGCTCGACGAATCCAATTCTCCCCGCCCGCCGACCTCGCGGCGAGCGCCGCGGAGGGTTCCCGCGCTCGGAGCTGCGCGCCGGTCACGCGAGCTCGGGGACTTCGCGCGCGTGCCTGCGCGATTTGCGGACCTCGCGCTCCTCACTCGTCGAACACCTCGCGCCACAGGTCCCGCTTCCCGAAGCCCCTGAGGCCGGGGTGTGGCTTGCGGTTCCACTTCCAGGCGTCCTCGGGGTCCTCCTCGTCGATGCCCACGATCCTCGGCCCGCGCCGACGCCGCGGCCCCACGATATGCGCCGGCAGCTGGAAGGCCGCGGCCTGTTCGGGCGTGCAGGGCCACAGCCGCAGCCGCATCTCGTGCGGCGGAGCCTTTCCACTGCGCACGAGGCTCTTGGGAGAGTTCACCGACACCTCTGGAGGTCGTCGAAGTGGGGTCGAAGCAGATGGGGTCGGTGGGTCGCGCCGAGATGCATCGGCGATGCATCCACGACGTCGGCGATGCATCGGCGACGTCGGCGTGGAGAAAGTCGGGCAACACATCGAGCCGCATCGCCGATGCCTTGGCGATGCGGCGCGGTCCACCGACCCAGTCTACTTCGACCCCACTTGGGCAGCCTGAGACCTTGTACTCCCGAACGCTCTCCTCGAGGTACTCCGGCTTCGCAAGGTCGCGGACCTCGGCGATAATGCGCAGCGCGAGGTCCACCACGTCCTCGGGCGGGCAGCGCCCCTGCAGAACGCGGGCCTCCACGCGGTGGCCCTTCTCCAGGAACTGCCGTGCCTGGTTCACCTTGCGCTCGAGGTGGTGCTCGTCAATCACGGCCGAGAAGCGCAGGCCCTTGACCTTCAGGCCTGGGTCAAAGCTGAACTCGCGGAGCTGCCTCTGGCGCCTGGCGCCGTCGAGCGCCGTGGCCTTGCGGTCGAGCTCGTCGATGAACGCATCCAGCGACACCAAGCGGCACAGCGGCGGCTCCACCGCGCCAGAGAGCACCACGAGGTCGACGCCACGCTGCTCCGCCAGCGCGCGGGCCTCGCCGAGCAGGAAGTCCCCCACGAGGCCCCTGTCGTCCACCACGCGCACGCGCGGGAAAGGGATGTCGCCGTTTGCCAGCACCTTTTGCAACGAGTCGTTCCTCGACGGCCCCGGTGCTGGGGGAGGGCCCTGGGACCGGCCGAAAAGCAGCCTGAAAACTTCAGGGCCCGTTTCACTCGGGGACTCTCGATTTTTCGTGGCCGCAACTGCCCCGACACGCAACACGCAACCCGTAACGTGTTGACACGGAGCTCAACACGTAGACACAATACGTAGGTCTGGCGCGACACGTTCGCCGAACCGTGGGCCGACACGGTGAGCCAACACGGAACGTGTCAACACGGACGCTTTGAACACGGTTACGTGTTGCGTTTCGAGACGGGCGTATCATGGCAACTAAGTTCACGGCGAGCCAGAAAGATCGACAGCGCGGGGCCTCCCTCGGGGCGCGTGCTGACCAAGGGGGAGCCCGGCCGTGACGGCGAGGGGCGCCACGGAGGGGGCCCACCGCAGGCCACAGGGCACGAGTCCAGAAGCCCCTGCGGGCCTCGTGCACGGCCGCACGCCGCACGCCGCCCACCTCGGGGGACCGCAAGACCTTTGGATGGGCGTGCTTTTTACACGCACGGACATCTGGTGCCCCGATGTTGTCCAGACGCGGACGCCATGGCCTCTCGACCACTTACCCCGGACGAGTATTTCGGGCCCAAGCTTCGTTCTGCCAGCCCCGAGGCCCAGGAAGGGCCCCGAGGGGCTGAAACCGATGAAACATCCTTGTCACGATCTTGACTGTTCGAGGCGCAGGCTGTCTGGGTAAACTCTAGGGGATAGGGGGCCCGGGTAATGGTCACGCTTGGGCGGAGTTGGGCACGTCGGGGCGGGGGTGCGCTGCGATCGCCATGGTATACTCGCGCGCCCCCCTACGCACGATCGTTGAAATAGAACCCGGGGGACTGGTGGGAAGGGAGGGGGGGGGCCGGGGCAACGACTGTTACGCGCGAGGGGATGAAATCCTATTCTGCGAACAAATTGCAACATCACGAAAAATCACGCGCGGAGCCCTGGAGCCCACCTTCCAACATCATTTTCCGAGCCGGATCGATCTGTGAGGGTCCTGGGACCCGAAACAAGACGGACGAAAACGCCAGTTGTGAAAAGGGGGCGGCATCCAGGATCTTCGGGCCGACCACCCTCCACGCGCCCGCGAGCTGCTCCGCGCGCCGTGGGCGCGGCGGCGCCGCGCCCGCGAGCCCACCCGGCCGCGAGGCCGAGGCTCGGTGGTTCAAAGATGTGGTCCTGCGGGGATGGGGTTCTAAGGGCGAGGTGCCTCAATGAGCGTAAATCCAATCTTGAATCCCTTTCCTGTCCTTAGGTCCCCATCCCTCATGATGGGCCGACTTTTCACCACCACTACCATAGGTAGGAGAGGGAGGAGGAGGAGGAGGAGGAGGAAGAGGAGAAGAAAGAGGAGGAAGAGGAGGAGGAAGAGGAGTGTGAACCCAAGAGTCATCAACGATGCTGGAATACAGCCTCCCTCCAAGCTCCCTCTTCATAGACCCCTACGAGGCGTCATTTCTACTGAGGGAACTGCCCCGTTGAAGGGCAACTTTGCGAACATCCTGAAGCGCACCAAAACACCATTCTCAGGACTTCAACGCCACGAGTCACCCGGACTGCTGCGTCTTGACGATCGTGAATCGTGCCATAACACCATTCCTGGGATTTCAACACCGCGAACCAAAGTAACTATCGCCCCCTGACAATCCCGAATCATTCCAAAACACACCTTCTGGCACGTCTACCATGAGAAGCAATGAAACTGTGGCACATGGTTCTAAATAGTGCGCGCAAAGCTAAAGCGAGATCCAAACATTGAAAAGGGAACACCCTCAATCCGTTGAGCTATGGCAACTGTTTAGGAGTGTGCGCGGAGCTAGGGCGAGAACCACATGTTGAAACCCAACCACCCTCATGCGCAACTTATTCCCAACCATCCTGTGGTGTTGGGTCCTCTTATTGAAGAGACAGTCGCCCGCGTTCCTCTCCTCCCATCCCTGCCGTTGCTCCCCGCGTGTCCACTCATTTCGGCACACCCCTCACACGCTTCATGGCCCCATACGGAGCTTCACCGAGGGCCCCAATGGCACCATCCACATGCGTCCGCCACACCCGTGTAGGCACACTATTCACACGCTTCGTGGCCTCATATGGAGCTTCACCGAAAGCCCCAACGGCACCGTCCACATGCGTCCGCGACACTCATGTCGGCACACCCGTCGCACGCTTCGTGGCCCCATACGGGACTCCACCGACGGCTCCAGAGGCACCGTCCACATGCGTCCGCGACACTGATTTCGGCTCACTACTCACACGATTCGTGGCCCCATAAAACGGGCTCCACCGAAGGCTCCAATGGCACCGTACACATGCGTCCGCCGCACTGATTTCGGCACACCCCTCACACGCCTCGTGTCCCCATAAGGAGCTTCACTGAAGGCCCCAATGATATCGTCCGCGTGCGCCCGCCACACCCATACAAGCACACGTTTCACACGATTCGTGGCCCCATATGGAGCTCCACACAAGGCCCCAGAGGCACCGTCCACATGCGTCCGCCACACCGATTTAGGCACACCCCTCACACGTTTCGTGGCCCCGCAGGGAGCTTCACCGAAGGCCCCAAGGGCACTGTCCACGTGCGTCCGCCACAACCAAGTCGGCACACCCCTCACACGCTTCATGGCCCCATACGGAGCTTCACCGAGGGCCCCAATGGCACCATGCACATGCGTCCGCCACACCGATTTAGGCACACTTATCACACGCTTCGGGGCCCCATAGGGAGCTTCACCGAAAGCCCCAATGGCATCGTCCACATGCGTCCGCCACACAAATTTCAGCACATTCCTCACATGTTTCGGGGCCACATAGGGAGCGCCACCCGAGGCCCCAGTGACACCGCTCACACGCGCCCGCCACACCCATTTCGGCACACCCCTCACACGTTTCGTGGCCCCAGAGGGAGCCCCACCGAATCCCCAAGAGGCACTGTCCACCCATGTAAGCACATCACTCACACGTTTCGTAGGCGCCAGTGGCACCGTCCACATGCGTCCGCCACACTGGTTTCGGCACTCTCCTCGCTCGTTTCGTGGCCCCATAAAAGGGGGCTCCACCGAAGGCCACAGTGGCACCGTCCACACGCGTCTGCCACACCCATACAGGCACAACCTTCATACGTTTCGTGGCCCCATATGGAGCTCCACCCAAGGCCCCACTGACACCGTCCACATGCGTCCGCCACACCGATTTAGGTACACCCCTCACACGCTTCGCGGCCCCATAGGGAGCTTCACCGAAGGCCCAAGTGGCACCGTCCACATGCGTCCGCCACACCCATGTCAGCACACCCCTGACACGTTTCGTGGCCCCATTAGGAGTTTCACCGAAGGCCCCAATGGTACCGTCCACATGCGTCCGCCGCACCCATTTCGGCACATCGCTCACACGTTCCATGCCCCCATAAGAATCTCAGCCGAAGATGGTACTCACGACTGCGGTGCTCACAGCTGCATATGGTTGGGTCCTTCGACAAGCGAATGTTGAAGAAATGTGTGCCGCGTTACAACGAGAACCGCATTTTGAAAACCACCCGCCCTCAATCCGTGAAGCCCTTGCAACTTCGTAAAACAACTGTGCGCGGTGCTAGGGCGAGAGCCACACTTTGGAAGAGACCCGCCCTCCATCTGTGAAACTGTTGCCAGCTTTGCAGCTTCAGGCTCGCAAGTGGTGGGGGAAATCACACGCGAAACGCCCGGCCCGCCCTTCTAACTGGCGTCGGGGTGCGACATTGAGGAGTTATTCATAAGGAAAATGAACGGAGGAGGAGGAGGAGGAGGAGGAGGAGGAGGAGTGGAGGAGGAGGAGGAGGAGGAGGAGGAGGAGGAGGAGGAGGAGGAGGAGGAGGAGGGGAGGAGGAGGAGGAGGAGGACTGGCCCTCATCACCTCAGGACCCTATCCTGGAATCACCGACGAGGCCGCGGAGCACGCGGCGCCGCGGGCGCCGCTGGCGGGGCTGGGCGGCGGCGGCGCGCGGCAGCGGCGGCCGAGCGGCGGAGCGCCGGGCCGCGGCGCGCCCCTGCGCAGCAGGAGCCCGCGGGCCACGGCGCCAGGCGGCGCGGCGGCAGCGGCGAGCGCGGCGGCCATGCGGCTGCCGCGGCGGCGAGGGCGGGCGGGCCGCCGCACGTTCCCCCCCTCCCAGTGGCCCCCGCTCGAAGACGAAGCAGAATCGAGGCAAAATCGGAGCGATGTGAATCGGGAAGCTGTGAGAATCCGCGGGCTTTGAGCATGCATGCGGTGCCGCGGCCGTTTCAGAGCGTTCCAGACTGCTCTGAGAGCGCTCCGAAACGATTCTGGGCCCGTCCGACGCCTGATGGAGGAGAAGGGGGGGCGGATCGGGTCGATGGGAATGGAAGGCCCAGGGTCCGCCTGAGATCGGCGGCGAGCGAGGGGGGAAGTGAGAACGAGAAGGCCTTCTCAAAGGCGGCGGGGCTTATCAGAAGCCCTCAGGCCTTCTGTTCGGTTTTCTGTGACTTCGGGGAGCGCTTGCAAAACTTCTCAGAGGGGACTTCCGAGCCTTCGAGAAAGGCCCGCCCCTTCTCACTTCGTCCACTGGCTCGCCGTCAAAAGAGAGAGAGAGGGAGAGAGAGAGAGTAGCGCACGACAGACGCACTGCGTGCTCGAGGCACTGGTGCAGAACAGGGAGTGCGAAGGCTGGGAGACACCCAATCATCCCGCCTGCCCGTCCTGGAAGGCTCGCTCGCTCGTTCGACGATGGAATAGGCAAGTGGCGTTCGCAACTGTGTGGCGAGACAGGGTGGTGCAGTGGAACCACTTAAGCCACCTGCCCACCCTAAGTACTGAACATACTGTAACAATGTCCGGGAAACGCAGCTGAAACGCAGCAGTTGGGAGGATGGGGGAGGCGGAGGCGGATGGGCGTGGGAAAGGAGAGCGACAGGACAAGGAGGAGAGGGAGAGGGAGGAGGAGCTGGAGAAAGACAACATGTTGCAGTCAACCCTCCTTACATTGTCAACTCTTATCTGCCATTTCACGTTGCGGGTCAACTAGGAGCGCGTACACTCTGCTCGGAGTTGACACTGCTGTTCTACTCCCTCCGAATTCAGCCATGCTGGTTCCTATCCTACTCTGCATCCAAGTCCTTGCCACATGCTGTGCCCCACTGTACTTAGAACGCGTTATTTTTATGTTCGGCGATGACGGGCGTCTTTGAGGGGGCAGGGGGGTATGACGTAACGCCCCCCACCCCCCCCGCCGCATGGCTCTGGCACCACAGCCGCGCCCGCGCGCACGACGACGATGAGCGACGAACGATGACGACGACGACGACGACGACGACGCGAGCAGCATGTAGGTGGCGATCTGCCCCACAGCGCCTGTGTACACCACACTGCTCGCGTGCACCTCAACGCTTGTGTACACCACAGCGCTTGCGTACACCGCAACAACCGTGTGCAACGCAGCGCCCGTGTACACCACAGTTCTTGCATGCACCACAGCGCCGGTGTACACCACAGCGAATGTGTACACCACAGCAGCCATGTACAACACAGCG